ATTAATGGGGCGGGGGGCGGGGAGCGGCCGATATCAGGCGACTGCCTGCTGTTTACATTCAGCTGCTGGATGTAAACAGAATATTGGTATCTGATATCGGCTATCGGCCTGAATGGTGGCCAATATCGGTATCAGTTCTGAAAAATCATTAGTTAGTCGATAGTTGTGTCCTAAGTCTTTCTATAAGTACAGATCACTGTGAAGGTTTCAACCATTTTGCCTGCTGCAACAAAACATCCAAAAATGTAAGAAATCTTTTGTAAAAAATGATGTTGCTTTATGTTGCGTGGAAGGGAACACATAACAAACATATAGTGGGGTTTTCTCAAATTTGATGGCAAAAGTGGAAATACACTTTAAAGGCAGGTGTATCTTCCCCAGGGATGGCTAACGTTGTGTTAAGAGGGGATACAGCCAGATCCACAGAGGGGATTTTTAACACATTTTTACTTTTTACCAAAGTGCTTCTCAAGAAGAGGGAAAGCGGGAGGGGGGTCAAGTTCTGCAGCAGAAATGTGCTTCCTTAACACTGAATGGTGGGAAAGAGAGCATGAAGCATACAACACTCCACCCAGCGGATTATGTCACCACTCAACAACTCAGTGTTAACCCCTTCCGCAGTACCACACAAACGCTTGCTACACAAGCTGAGAGCTATGGGCATAGATGAGGTGGTGTGTACGTGGATAGAGAACTGGCTACGCGAACGGGTCCAGAGGGTATCTGTAAATGGCACCTTTTCAGACTGGGCTCGTGTAATGAGCGGTGATTCAAGAAACTTTTGGACGATTTCTTAAGGGACCGTAATATACAGGGGTACAGGTACTCCTAGAATGAGATCCTAATAGGTTGGACTTGATGGACTAATGTCTTTATTCAACCTCAAATACTATGTAACTATGTATACGGCACCCAATATGTCTAGCAAATAGGTAGCTCCCAGTGCTTGGCCCACACAACCTGCTCACAAAGTGAGTCTTTGGAAACAGGGTTACACCTGGGGCTGTGCCACGGTTTTGGACTTGGAGAGTGCTCCGTTTTTAACACAGTACACGCTGGTCTGGAAAGAACCACAATGAGCTCAGCGCCCAAAGGTTCCATTCTAGACTATCTCTGCATGTCTTGTGCAGCTACACTCCAAAGTTAGGCTTAGATAAGGCAAATCTGGGTAGCTGTGTAGAGAGAACAGCTCAGCAGCGATGTATGATTGAAGAAAAAAGTAGCTAGCTTGAGAGAAGGAGGGGGTATACTGGGCTGATCATAATTTATTTTTATTTTTTGCCAGTGCCCAATTCTGAAGGTGGCAGAATACCCCACCAGTCTAAACACCCGTGTCCCTCAATCAACAACTACAATTTTTCTTGGTCTGATTATTAATGTGAAACACAGATCTATAGAAAACAGTTTTCTAGTTTGTTGAATCTAGAAAAAAAGGAATCTAACGGCAACCTTTAGAAAGTTTTACAGGGCTATTCACAAAAGGGTGCAGAGTTTGGAGAAGGCAGGAGAAGTAAACAATCTAAGCTAAGATAGCTGATTTGGAAAAATTCTCTAATTCAGCTCACTTTCCAGTTCAGCTGTTTTGTCCTAGACGGTTCACTTCTGCCTTCTCCAAACTCTTCACCCTTTTGTGAATAGCCCTGTAAGCTTCCTAGACAATGTTCCTCTACAAGAATGCAGATCAGGAAAGTCAGAGTGAAGTCAGAGCCTTTAATGTGCATACATATTTCAGGTACATGATTCAAATTAATAAAGCCAGTTAGTCAGCATGGCAACTTAATTAGTATTTTCAAAAGTGATGGCCAGCTGTGATATTTTCCCAGTAAAGATTTTTATTGACTTTGATGCTTCCAGCATTTCCTTACTGCAACAACATCAACATTTCTAGACACTCAGATATAAATGGCACAATGAGATGGACTAAAAAATAGTGTCTTCTACTTGTCACTTTATTTCTCTGTACTGCATTGTAATAGCCCCTTTCTGCCTGACAGTGATGGGAAGTGCTATCAACCTCTCGGCTTTCTAGTTCTAGTCTCAGAGCATGTACTTAACTGGGCAGAGCAGAGTGAGCTGAGCTGCTGAGAAAAGGACCTATAAACTTCAGTGCTTCCCTGTGAATGTTGAGGACTAATAGCACCACAGTGCCTGCAGCTACAGAGGACAGTGGGGGCATGTTTCAGGGCTTTTTCACACCATCTGCATTCGGACTGCACAGGCAATTTGCCTTGTCATAGATGGTGACCATTCACACCACTGCATTCCGATGGTGTGCACTTTTTTTTTTGCGCACCATAGTAAGACACAGTACAACCACATTGCATCATCGTGAGCCAATAGAACTTAATGAAATGTCACTTGTGACATTTTTTAAAGTTCTAACAAAAAGAAAAAAGAACAGTGCAATGTGACTTGATGGAGCGCATCTGCACTGTACGGGCACACACACACCAGCAGCCGTGCGGTTGAGCATTGAGTTTGAACAAGCCGTTAAAGCTAATGTACTGCTTGTTTGGATACTGTAAATGCTCGAATGCTGCTACCCTGGCAACAGGTTTCCTTTAAGTTTACTATAATTAGATCTGTGGGAGCTTCCTTTTTCTTAGCTGGTATGGCTTACTACACATCACCACTGTTATTTCACAAAATAATTGCACATAAAAAAAAAATCATAAATTTCCATTTATATGAGATTTTGCACTTAATTTAGCTATTATATTCTTTGTAACTTTTCTTCTGCTTATACTACTTGCACTATATATATATATATATATATATATTTATATATATTTATATATATTTCTATAGGATTGACTACCAACATTGCCTAATGAAATGTGCCTTACTGGTCCCACCAGCATGTGTGTCATTTGCTGTACGTTCCATGCTTGTGTTCTGCATAGTTCTGTGTAGATTCCTTTCAACATAGAAATCTCCAGTTTCATTTTTTATTTGGATTTCTGAATGACTTGCTTGGACAATATAGTGTCGCTGTTGTCCAATGTCTTCATCTTGTAATTTTGCTGAGCTTGTAGCTTGCTCATCTGCAATCAATACATCCATGGTTCTGTTTTCCAAAGGCTTGAAAATTGTGCTATATGAATGTTTTAAAGGTTTCCAGCCTTTAAATATGTTTTCTGAAGTGCAAAGGGTTTCATTTCTTCCTCTGCTTTCTGTTTGATCACATTGAATTACAGGAGCGTGACTGCAGTGGCCCACTGACCCCTGATTGCTTGGAAAAATATCCTTTGTTTGTTCAGTGTGGACCTCTTCTTGAGCTAAGCCTAAAATGGATCCATGTTTTCCAATTTCCAGCCCATTTTCTGGTTCAGCCTTGACTAGGCACTGACTATTACTTTCTGTACTGTCATTGTGCATTTTCTGAATATCCTCTAGATTATTACAAACACTTCCAAATACATTTTTCAGGTGTTGCTGATGAGGCAGATTTTTTTGTTTCCTATTAGATTCATATGAAACACTAAAAAAAAGTAAAAAAATAAAGTTATTTTTGATGTTTCAAAAAATTGGTCAGTTAAGTAAATCAACTTTAAAATGTATTAAGTACATACTGAAAACACATATAGCATCTTAAGATGTCTGTTCAAGCAAAATACAGGTGGGAGCCCTGATGGTAAGACTAGGTGTGAGGCGTTCTGACTTACACTGCGTTGCTCCAGCGCTGTTAATCTGGGCTCAGTTAAACTGTGATGGTTTTGTGACTTTTTCTGGTTTGTACCTAGATATGTCCCAGATCTTTTTTGAACTTTTGAGTTCAACATTCACTATGAAGCCTACAAACTAGGCTCAAGCTTAACCTTTTAGATTGAAGGCTCTCATAACCATCTCGTCTCAAATTGTATTGTAACTGTACTGTCTTTCTTTATATTGTATAAGGCTGCGCAAACTGTAGGCGCTATATAAATCCTGTAAAATTATATTAATAATAACCCCAGATGGGATTTATACCATTTAGTGGGGACAGATAGAGCTTTCTTTTGGGGGTATTAAAGCACTACTGGCTTTTTTATATTTTACTATATAATGAAAAAAGTACAGACAATTTGGGGAAAAAAACAGGTTTTCTCTATGTTATGTTATCAAACAATTATTACACCCCAAATTTTTGGTAAAATGTAAAAGACGGGGTCACGTCGGGTAAATAGACCCCAAACATGTCAAGCATTAAAACCGCAAAAAAACTACCATATCTATAATTGGCCATAGGCAACGCTTTAAAAGCTTTTACCGGTCATCCGTTTAGTGTTATCAGTGATTAATGGCCCTAAAATTATTGCTCGCACTCTGACGTCTGCGGTGATATGCAACATGGGCTATAATAGTTGTTTTCAGACATATGCGGACCAATGCGTATTTACATTTATATGTGAGTGCACGTGAGGACAGGGGCCTTAAACATTTTTTGTGTGTTTTTTAAATTTTTTATTTGCGACTCATTTTTTTTCAACTTTTTTTTTTTACACTTAACTTTATTGCTATCACATCGTGGGCTAAAAAGCCCCATATATAATAGCAAATATACAATGAAAGGTCCTCTTCATGGAGACATCAGGGGACTCTAAGACCCCTAATGTCACCTAGTAACCCCCAAATAAGCTGATGAAACAGAGATCTGCTTCACCGGCTTCTTCTCTGGCTATAGCAGCCAGAAAAATGACAGCTGAAGGCGGAAGTGATGTAATACACATCACTTCTGCGATTGGAGGAGAGATCAGCAAGTAGGAGAATGCTGATCTCTCCTCCGTTCACACTGTGAGCAGCCACTGTGTCGATCTCGGGCCCGCATGGGGGACAGTGAGCCCGGGATAACTGGCAGCAGCAGAAGGGGGAGGCCACACGCTGTTTTTCACCATACAAATGATCAGGCGGCTGTAGAGCTGCGGGAGCGCTTGTATGCAACATCTGGTACCGGCTGTTTAAAGCTTTTGCGGGATCCTGCACCCGCTGATGGAAGATTGCTGTCCGTCTGATTATTTAAAACGGGCGGACGGCTAGTAATTAAAAAGATTTGGGAATACCTTTCTGCTTTGGAAAAATAAGTGATATGTAGCATGTGGCTCACCCTTTAAAAGAAGTAATACACTGCCTTAAACATAAAATCAAATGTAAATGCTGATAAATTCTACTGCATTATGGTATATTGGTGGATACAGACACTCCTAGAGTGCTATCAACTCATATTTATATAATCAAACATTTTAGTAAATAAAGGGACGTTTTAATCACAGCACCTGGAAGTAAATCCGTATAGAAAAGTATACAAAAATAGAAAATGTATTAAAATGAGAACTATCGGGTACACCTTTTTTTACAATGGTGGCTTGGAGGGAGGCAAGCACTAGCGGAACTACCAGGGTCGCAGCGGTCGCAATTGCGACCGGGCCCTGGCTTTCTGCCTGTTTGGGGGGGCCCAGAGAGGAAGCGGAGGGTGCGCAGCTACCTCATGCACACTCCCCCCCCCTCCCAGATAGTGCCGCTCCCTCCTCCACGGCTCTGCCATCCGCAGCAGTAGAATGTACGGGCGGCTGTGCGGGGATGGGGAGGAGGTTGTGTCTGTCACCTGTCTGCCTGGCGGAGGCGCTACCGACATTGCAAGCACCGACAGACAGCACAATCAGCTGTTGGGAGAGGACCCCCCCTGGCCGCCAAGATGAAGTAGCTGCTGCAGGAATCAGGTAAGGCTGGTGTGGGTGCAGGCTGAATCGGGAAGGAGGGGCTTCGGGGTGTTTGAAAGTGGTGGTATTTTAATTTACATTAGAATGTATTGCTGAGACTTGTAGTCCTACATAGCTGGTGGTATTCTGCATTGCTGTATTATAGTTATACAGCAATGCAGAAAACCACCAACTATGCAGGACTACAAGTTCCAGCAATACATTATATTAAGTAGGGATGCACCAGTGCCAATACTGGTCATTTTCACAAGTACTCGTGAAAATGCCCCGATACTGAGTGCAGATACAGGCACTGGCGAAACTACCAGGGTTGCATCAGTCGTATTTGCGACCGGGCCCTGGTGTACCACCAGTTTGGGGGGCCCAGAGAGACCAGAACACTGACATTGATTTGCCATGTGTTCTGGAGATCACACTGCGGCCGGGGGCGTACCTGTGTTGCCATTGACTTTAATGCAACAACACGCCCCCTCCCGCCCCAGAATGCAGTGACGCGGCCGGGATGCGATCCAGTGCGTTCCAGCACGAATCGGGCCGGAATGCACTGGAACTGGTGTGAACTAGCCCTGAAAGTCATAACATACATAGAGGGGAATTTATCAAAACTGGAGCAGATGGAATCTGGAGCAGTTGCCTATGGCAACCAATCAGCATTCACCTTTTTATTTTCAAACCTTAACTGAACAAACTAAAGAGAGAAGCTGATTGGTTGCCATAGGCAAATGCTCCAGATACTTCTGCTTCTGTTTTGATAAATTACCCTCATACCTTTTTTTTATATATTAAATAAACAGTATCAAAATCATGTTTTTTTGGTGGTGGGGGAGCCCTTAATAGTTTCTTGTACAGGGGCCCTGAGGTTTCTAGTTACGCCTCTGGAGGCAAGAATAAAGTTTAACTCATATACTTACATCTCTCCCTATTTGCCTATTAAACCTTCAATTCCCCCAGGGCCAAAATCACCAAATATACACATTATGGGAGTCGAAGGGATTAACGGCCATACAATAATTTTTTTATATGAACACTCTTTTCTGCGGAAGACATGGGCTACCAGCTTTTTCAATGGGACTTTAAGGTACACAGCTGTACTGTGAACAAGACATGGAGGGAAACTAAGATACTGTACAGGTCCTACTACGCTTTTAATTTTTCCCATAAAATAAAAGCACCCAACCTTTACTTCAGGCACTGTGCTAATTGCAATCATGTAAAGGCCAATCTGGAGCACTGCCTGTGGGATCTGTTACATAGTATTTGAGGTTGAATAAAGACATAAGTCCAACCTATTGCTGATGTGTGCGTATGTAGAAGTCCATGTATCATCTCATTCTTAGGTGTACTTGTACCCCTGTATATTACGGTCCCTCAGGAAATCGTCCAAATGCTTCTTGAACAATTCTACACTACTAGCTGAAATCACTGCCGGTGGCAGTGAGTTCCAGACCCTAACCGCTCTAACTGTGAAGAACCCCCTTCGCCCCTTGTGCTGGAATTTTTTTTCCACCAATTTTAGGTGGTGGCCTCTAGTTTTTGTAATGGAGTTAATCGTAAAGAGTTTGTTGCTAAGACCATTGAACATCTTGTACATGAAAATAATATCCCCCTTTAATCTCCTTACTTCCAACGTGAACATGTTTAAATTTAGTAGCCTCGTCTCGTAGCTCTGGTCCTCCATTCCCCTCATTAGTTTGGTTGCCCTCTGCTGGACTCTTTCCAGCTCAAGGACATCCTTTCTGTGGACTCGTGACCAAAACTGGACCGCGTACTCCAGATGAGGCCGAACCAGCGATGTCTAAAGTGGCACAATCATAGACTTGTCCCTGCAATGCATTCCCTTCTTAATATAAGATGGGACTCTACTTGCTTTGTTTACCAGTTTGAAAAGGTTCCATTTATAGATACTCTCTGGACATGTTCCCGTAGCCAGTTCTCTATCCACGTACACACCATTTCATCTATACCCATATATATCAGCTTGTGTAGTAAGTGTTTGTGTGGTACTGTATCAAATGCCTTTGAGAAATCCAGATATACCACATATACCGGCCTCCCTCCATCCATATCTCTACTTACCCCCTCATAAAAAGTTAGTCCTTAATCATTCCCTCTAACAGTTTGCAAACTACCGATGTTAGACTGACCGGTCTAAAGTTCCCTGGTTGGCATCTCTCCCCCTTTTTGAATATTAGAACTACCGTAGCCCTCCGCCAATCACTTGGGACTCTACCCGTCATGAAGGAGTCCTTAAAAATTAGGAATAATGGTCTTGTTATAACCTGGCTTAGCTCCTTAAGTACCTTGGGGTGCAGGTTATCTGGTCCCACTGATTTATTTGCATTAAGCAGTTTGAGTCTTTGTTGTATACCGGTTTCTGTCAACCATTGAGGTATATTTTGTGTTGAACTATGTGTTTTATCATGTAAGTCAAACCCGTTTCCCTCCTGAGTGTATACTGAGGAGAAATCTGCATGCACATTTCTCATTTTTGGGATGTCACTGTCAATTATATTAACTGCATCCAGGAGGCAGGAATCCAAAAAGGCATGTGGACCTATCTATTGCCCTGCTAATCATAACAAAACACAGATTTGATCCACACCAGACTCTTGCTGAAGCTGAGAGAAATCATGGCCTCTTGCCTATCCTCTCTCACTTTCCAGATCTCTTAAAAGCTATTAAGAGGCTGATGTGTAAGAAAAGGTTAGATACCATATCAGAGATGGTGTAGTTATATTATACATGTTCTCAGTGGTTGAAATAAGGGCAACAGTCAAACCTTTCC